GGGGGGGGCAGCATAGTGGGTACGCGCCGCAGATTGAGATTAGACCTCGCCATCCCTGGGACGTTGCGATCTGCAAAAGTATTGCCACTTTCGAGGGTTGCTGGGGGAGCCAGCACAGTGGGTACTCGCCGCAGAGTCAGGTTAGACTTCGCCATCGCTGGAAGGCTGCGATCTGCGACGCCGTCGCCACTGTCGGGGCTGCTGGGGGAGCCATCATCGGGGGCACTCGCCGCAGATTGGGAATAGACCTCGCCATCCCTGGGGGGGCTGCGATCTGCGAAAGCGTCGCCACTTTCGAGGGCTGCTGGGGGGCGCAGCATAAATTAGACTCCGCCATCTCTGGAAGGTTGCGATGTGCGAAGCCGTGGTCACTTTCGAGGGCTGCTGGGGGGGGGGGCAGCATAGGGAGTACTCGCCGCAGATTGGGATTAGACCGCTTGCCGTTCGCACCCCCTTGTCACCTTCTCCATGGTGCTGCTGCCGCGATGGCCCCCCGCCCCCACAATTCCGTCATTCTTGCCCGTCGTTCCCGCCCCCTTTTCTTCTTCAAGTTTGGGGCCCCACTCCTCGTCCTGTTGATCGTTGTCCTGTGAGTCGTGCAGCGTGCGCACATCCCATGTAGCTTGCACAACAGATCGCCGCGCCTGCACTGTCGTTGTTCCTGTCAATGTTGGCCTACGTCATGTCCCATTCGAAGCAAATTGGTTGGGTACGTCGCGGATATTGTTTGTGTTCCTTGTTTGAACCCTCGCAGGACTCGTGGACCCAAGACGTTTTCTTATTGATGATGAGTGTATGGTTGTCTTTGTGTGTTTGATTGCATGGAATGTGTATTGCTTTTGATTGTATGGATTTCTGACTGCTTTTATTGTGGTTATTTCTCGTTGTTTCTGATTGCATGGGTTTCAGAGTGCGCTTGATTGTATGGAGTTATCTTTGTATTTGATTGTGTTGATTTCTGATTGTTTTTGATTGCGCCGAGAAGAGGGGAGATGAAGAGGAGAAAGATGAAGACGAAAGTATGATGATGATGATGATGCTGCTGATGATGATGATGATGCTGATGCTGATGATGATGATGCTGCTGATGATGATGCTAGTCTTAATTTTCACCCTTGCACACACAAGCCACCTACACAAAGATACCACCCTTACTGAGGTACCCCCCCACTCTCTTCCTCCCTCCCCCCCACCCAGTGGAGAGGGGAGGGGGTATAAATCAGGGGGAGGGGCCCGCCACTCGCGCTGGAGGGGGGGAGAGCACGGCCAATACAGCATGACGGACCCATCTTTGCCCACTGATGCCAAGTCTAACCGACCAGGGCCAGTGCTCAACCGACCAGAAAGCCGACTCGTACCAATTACGATCGGCCATCTTACGCCGTACACCTCAGGACTCTGAGCTCACAGGAGGAAAGGATACCCATACCGCTACCCTTCGGCCGTTTTCTCCTTGTTGGGCCTCCTGGGAGGTTTTCGTCGCCTCCGCTGGATTCGCTTCGAAATTCTGGTCAGGACACACGACGGGAGAGGTCCGGGGAGCAGCGGTATCGGTACCTTTTTCGCTTCCCCATGGGACGCAATGCTTAAATGTGAACATCTGTTCTGGGAAGCAAAACGAGTGTCAGAGTTGGAGGCGGTACCAAGTTATTGCGTTCCTTGCGGGGGCGGTGTAGGTGTCAATATGAGCAGCGAACAATTGTCATACCAGAGCTCGATGATTATCGTGTCAGAGTGGTGCACAGCAGTTGTAGAATGCTTCGCGTTATTTTAACTTCAATGTGAAGACTGTATACCGTCCACTTGAGAGTTGCTTAGGTTTCATCCATCAGCGACTTCCGTTGTGCACGTGAGCGAAATATGTGGGAATTCGCCCGAGCATTCAACAGTTCCAAATGAGAAGTTTATGTTACCCGATTGGGAAGTGTGATGTATTAGATGAAAACAATCAGGTGCGCAGCTTACACATGGGAACTGTCCGCTGTCACGTGAGACGTGGAAGTGTTCGTACTACTGCGTGAGACCCGTAGAGCGGAATCCTTTCATGCGAGAATTGGTTAAGTGCCACATGACAAGGCATGCGCGGTCCCGCGCAATATGTATGTGATTCCCAACCCTTCTGCATTGGGCACTCGTTTTGAATAGAGCACTGCGGTCGCACACCTTCTCCCGCCTCCCTCTTCCTCTCATCCCTCCTACTTGCCTGCTACCCTGCCTCCTATCTCGCCGTCCTGCCTGGATGCTCGGTGGGGGGCTGCAATCTGCGGAACTGTCGCCATCTTCGAGGGTTGCTAGGGGGGGGCGGCGGAGTGAGGCACCGCCCAGACTCAGATTAGACCTCGCCATCCCTGGGGGGGTGCGATCTGCGAAACAGTCGTCACCTCCGAGGGTTGCTGTCGGGTTCAGCGGAGTGAGGCATCACCCCGACTCAGACTAGACCTCGCCATCCCTGGGGAGGTGCGATCTGCGAAACAGTCGCCAAGTTCGAAGGCAGCTGGGGGTTCAGCGGAGTGAAGCACCACCCAGACTCGGATTAGACCTCGCCAACCCTGGGAGGCTGCGATATACCAAACTGTCGCCACTTTCGAGGGCTGTTTGGGGGGTTCAGAACGATGAGACAACACGCAGACTCAGACTAGACCTCGCCATCCCTGGGGGCTGCGATCTGCGAAACAGTCGCCACGTTCGAGGGCTGCTGGGGGGTGCAGCGGGGCGCTGTCGCGGGCCGCCCGCAGACCTGGTTGCGCGCCTTCGAGCGTTTAGCTCCCGCACTGAAAAGGTGCAGGACGGAAGCAAGGATGCTGGCGGGCGAGCTATCCTCGCTCGCTTTTTGTTCCAATGATAAGAAAGTGGTATCACTTGGTCGACCGCCGCGGCGACATGGCGCAGGCAGCGCTGCATCTTTAGCGTACCACCGACAAAAGCAACAGTTTTCGGTCTCCTCCCGTCACATTCGTCGTCTTCCTCTGCCCCCGGCAACCTTCCCTCTGCTGCTGCCGCGCTGGCGGTTCGGCCCTCCGCGCGTCCGTGTCCTTTTTTCATTCCCGCCCTTATGTCCTCCTCAAGCCCAGGCCCTCGTTGTTCGTCCTTCTGCTGGTGTCTTGTGAGTCGTGCCACGCGAGCGTATTCAATGTAGTTCGCGCAACATACAACGGCGCGTTCTGCCATTGTCCTGGCAAGCTTGGGCCAAGTCCTTTTGCCACTTGATGCAGATGGGCTGGGTACGTCACAGGGTAGTTGTTCGGCCGTGGTATAGTGCCAGATGGAAATTGCACCGGTTCTGCCTGAGATTGCCATGCAGGTGCCATGTGGGAAGCGTCCGGCGTGCAGGTGGGAGTTGCTGACGTTCCAAAAAAAGGGTTTCATGCATTTGCGCGTTGAACGTGTAAATGTCCGATAAATGGAGATTGGCATACTATCCGCAGTGTGGCCCACATCGTCTTGATTTCGATAGGGGACTCGACAGCTCCCATATCACATTTGTATTGCATTCGTGTTTTCATGCCGAATTGATTCGAATAAGGTTGTAATAGTTGTCATTGTAGTAAAAACCGTAAAGGGTCCCCCTGGGGTCCCACAAGGTCGTTAGGATCTCCCAGAGTTCCCGTGAAATTCCCCGGGGATTTTGCACGGATCAGTCAAGAATCCCGTAAGGATCTCTCGAGGGTCTCGTAAGGATTTTCCAGGAAGTTTGTCTAGCTCTTTTGAAGATTTCTCGAGGCGTTTGAAATTGGTTCGTACATAGTTGGGAGTGGTTGGAAGCGGTTCAATCTTTTCTAGTTGGTTGTAATGTGTCCAAGTTCTGGCCAATGCCCCCCTGAGTGCGGACAAACGACGACGACGTAAGACGACGACGAAAGACGAAAGACGACGACGAAGACGATAGATGGCCGCCGTCGCCGACGACGACGACGACGATGGTTGCGACGACCGTCGACGATGACGACGACGACGACGGCCGACCCGTGATAGTTTCCCGCCCGCGCGCTTTGGTGTCCCGCACGATTGGGTTGCCCGGTCTGATGTGCCACTTGCCGGGCCCGACGGTTGCCCGGTCTGATGTGCCACTTGCCGGGCCCGACGCACCCGCGTCAATGTCCCGCCCAGCCGAGACGCCAGGCTTTGGTGTCCCGCCCGCCCGACCCTCCCGCCGGCTATCGTGTGCTTCATGCGTCGTCGTCTGTCGTCGCCGTCGTCGTCGACGAGGCGTCGCCGTCGTCGTCGTCGTCGTCGTCGTCGTCGGCGTCTTCGTCTTCGTCTGCTGCTGCGAAGGGGGCGGGTGCGCAGAATTCCTCTGTTTTGACCCCGCCCCCTTCCTCGGAGGGGGGGGGGGCAGGAGGAGGAGACGGGCGTGGATAGGCCGCTTTCGCAGGGGTCGGTGGCTATTTGCTTGGAGGATGTTGTACGCGATGAAGGCCTAAAGCGGAGGATGCGGAAAGCACACAAGACCCGAACGTTGTTCAATGATTGTTGGAATTTGGGGTCGACCCCCCAGGGTTGACAAAACAGGCCAAGAGGCCTCCAAGAGAGTCCCGGGACGTTCCCTTGGGACCAGTTTGGATTATGTTCGAGTGTGAGATCTGCGGCCACGCTCCAAGGCTTCGGCACAGGTCACGCGTGAAGCCCCCCGCCGGGGATGAAAGCGTCCAAGAGCACCGAGAACACCGGGGTTCCAGGTCCGTGGAGCTGTTGCAGTGTTCAACATTCGGTGCGATCGAAATGGTTACGGAAAGAATGGAGACGAAGACCAACAGCAGTCCATGCTCAGTTTGAACAGGATTTGCTGTCGGTGTCGCCGCGGACGCTGTTCATTTGAGACAGAAGGCCGCCGATCAATCAGTAGCAAACAGTAGGGGACTTTTGAAAAAATCGGTGTGGACAACATTTGTTCTTGGGCATGCTCAGCTCGGAGAGTTCGAAGGGACTTGAGGGCAGTTCATTCAGTCCTTCACTTCACGGTGGCGGATTACTGTCATCGGACCCCTTGTCGCTCCGTGCGCAGCCATTTTGGCCCAGGGTGATGCGCGCCTCTGGCGGAAAGGTGGCGCTCGAGCCTCGCATGCCATGGGCCACAGGTCGCTGGGTGGCCTGCTCGAGGCCCTGGCCGCCGCCGGCGACGGCGACGGGATCGGCGACGAGTGCGTCGAGGATGAGGAGGATGAGGAGGACGAGAGCTCTTCCCAGCGCAAGCTCGTGTACCAAAGGCGCGCGGTGCGCCCATCGGGCAGGGCGATGTCGATCTTCCGCCAGCTGGGCGCGCTGGCCGGGCTGGCAGCGTGCGCCGCGGCCGCGGTCGGCATGCAGCACGTGCCGAGGAGCAAGCTGCTGCGCGTGATGTGGGGCACGCAGTCCAACTCCGCCATCAACCTCGGGGAGAGCGGGACGAGCGAAGGTATGGACGCTCTGGAAGCCGCGTCGTGGGACTACTACGGCGGCCACAACTGCTACCTGTCCCACGGGGGCAGGCCCATCCAGACCGACGAGAAGCTCAACCAGTTGTCCATCATGGAGTGCACGGGCAGGTGCCAGTTGGACTCGCGGTGCGAGGCGGTGGTGATGCAGCACAACACGGAGCGCGGCGAGTGCTTCTTGGTCTCGGAGGTCCGCCTCTCGGAGTGCGTTCAGACCGGAGGCTACGACCTGTGGCGACGCTCGGTGCCGGCCATCAGCTCCACCACGACTGCCAGCAGCATCGCCACCACGACGACCACGGCGCACACTTCCCCCACCACTGCCACCACGACGACCACGGCGCGCGCGGGCCCCACCTCTGCCACCACGACGACCACGGCGCGCGCTGGCCCCACCACTGCCACCACGACGACCACGGCGCGCGCTGGCCCCACCACTGCCACCACGACCACCACGGCGCGCGCTGGCCCCACCACTGCCACCACGACCACCACGGCGCGCGCTGGCCTCGCCATTGGCACCAGGACGACCACGGCGCGCGCTCTGGCGGCGGGGCATTCGGCCCAGCGCCCGCCGCGGCCGCGCCGGCAAGAGCGCCCGGCAGCTGCCCCGAAGCCGCCGGAGTGGGAGCTGCACAGCGGCTACAACTGCTTCGTCGGGCACGGCGGTCTTCCCGTGGAAGGCCGGCCCGTGCCCCTGGCCGAGCGGCTGAGCGTCGGGGACTGCCAGGCTCTAGGCCTCCTACAGTCGGGCCCTGCAGAAGGAACCCTTTTCGGTGGGGAGGGGCTCCGTGTTCCTGAGTTGTTTCACAGCTTGCCTCAGGTTTTCCTTATGGTTCCGATGGGAAATCGAAGGTTAACTTATGGAAAAAAGGGGCCTCGTTCCTTATTTAGGGTTCCTTAGGTCAACGCCCCGACTGTAGGCCTCCTAGGTGGGGTCCGAGCAGATGAGCGGCGCAGAACAACGGGTTCGATCGCGGCGACGTTGGCGCGCAAGTGGCTCGCGTAGGGCGCGCGGAAGCGCCCTCGCTTCCAGCGCAGCGTGCCGCGCTGGCGGCCCGCGTGAGCCACCGCGTGAGGCCGCCATGTGATCTGGCGTAAGACCCGTGTTTGGTCGTCGTTCAGATGGGGTCGGAGCAGCGCGCCGCATCGGCGATGCGACGGCGATGCGGCTCGATGTGGAGCCCGATTTCCTCCACGCCGACGGCGCCGATGCCTCGTCGACGTCGCCGATGCATCAGCGATGCGGCGCGATCCTCCGACCCCATCTACTCGGACCCCACGGGAGGCCTCTACTCAGGGGAGAAACAACCACCCAGACCCGGTATCTGGCGTTTGCTAAACGGCTCTGGGCGTTTACTGATCAGCCCTGCCCTGTTCGATGTTCCTTCTTCGGGTGCGTTTACCACACGGTTTCGCGTGTCGCGGTGATTGTTGAGAGGGCGGATGTTATGCTCTCGATCTGCAGGCTGCCTGCGAAGCTTCCGCCCCGTGCGCGGGCGCGGTGGTGAAGCAGGGCGAGGCCGTCGGGTTCTGCTGGCTGCAGGCCCACGTCGAGCTGTCCTCCTGCATCACGGGCACGGACTTCGACACGTGGCTGGCGGTGCCGCCCTCGGGGGCCAAGGCTCGGCCACGCGCAGAGGGGGGTACCCAGACCCCCTCGCGCAGTGCAAACATCGCGGCGGGAGGTGTTTTCGCTGCGTTCGGCCTCCGGGGGCCCTTGTCGGGCCCTGGGACCGTCAAGCCACGACGCAGGATGAGAAACGAGTCCTGGGGAAAGGGTCCAGACCACTGGGGGTCGCCGTGGTGAAACAATCACGACGTCGGGGGTCCGGGTAGGGGGAGGGGGGAAGGCTTCTTAGAAGCACCCGTGCTTCTCGGAAGGCGCGGGCCTCATCTATGGATGGACGGCCTGCGCCTTCTAAGAAGCAGCCTCCTTCTAGGAAGCCTTCCCCCCTCCCCGGACCCCCGACGTCGTGGTTGTTTCATCACGTCGACCCCCCGTGGTCAGCACCCTTTCCCCAAGGACCCGTTTCTCATCCTGCGTCGTGGCTTGACGGTCCCAGGGCCCGACAAGGGCCCCGTGAGG